CGTGCATTATTTGCCGACTCTGGGACTGGTTGGAAGAAGCGGAGAGGTGGTCAGTGCATGACATGGTGTCGTGGCATGAAAGAAAGCTGCAAAGGACTGGCTTGTGTTGGTCCTTCACGACTCCCTGGTTGGGGTCTGAGAGATGGTGCTACACAGTGGCTAGAGACGTTATCAGATATGGCTCAGAATAGAAGCCAGTGGCGATCCTGCTGTAACCTTCTTTTACTTTCTTCATAAAAAGTGGTTGTGTCTCCTTACCTGAAAGATTTCTTCTGATTGTACCTTTCGTTCCCTCGTTACTACCACACTACCTTACACCAATCTCTTCGTTATTGTTCTCTTTTTTTCGCTCCTTACCTTTTTTTCTCTTCGAATTCTCATTGTTTTGTGTGGCGCATATATATTGGCGCTCTCTTGTACCAATAGTTATGTGTTCAAATAAAATAAAATTAATAAAGTTAAAACAGAATATATAAATTCAGAAGGATGCAGCTATCAATCTCGTATAAATCTGATAACTTTAATTCCCAACATTGAATTTAGCAATATCCCATTTCACATTTCCAGTTACTTATTTTTTTTCCTTTATCCTTGTGTTACGAATTGAGCTTTGCTTATTTTACTCCATTAATCTATCTACCTTTACAAGTGTTATAAAATGACTTATGACACCAACTTCTATTTTCTAGAAACTTGTTTCCTTGTGTTTTTAAGATTTTCGTTTTGGAATTTGCACATTACTTAACATATGAGTGTTTAAAATTTAGAGCATTTTTACTATTTTTGGTTATTTATTACTCCTTTCAATAATCCTGATTGGTATGATAAAAATAATTACTACTATTGTTTTTAGGTTTAAAAGAATAAGAGGGAATCCAAAAAACAAATGATTTGATATTATTCTGTTAAATTCAGTTTTCGCTTTATTTAGATTAAAAATTGGAAAAATTGTACGAAACCCTTCTCTATGCTCCTCATGAGTATCACATTTTGAACTTATAAAGCTTTTGCATTGTTTCAACTAGTCAACTTGGAACTAGTATACAGAAACGTTTTCAGGAATTGCATAAAATTAGTCTTGTCAAATAAATCTTCAGGAACTAGTTATCTAGTATTAACGAGCGATACAGAATTAGACGGCGTAGACACGCACACACATGCATATATACAAAAGCACGTATAACAAAAAACACGAACCATTGTTTAAATAAAAACTACCTAAAGTATACAAGAGTTAAAAACTAGAGATTAATCTGCATACTATATCTTTCTGTATAAGCATATCTGATGTGCATATTCTGTTAATCAAACAGTTTACAAGATATCATTTTTTATTGGATTGGCTTGATTTTTTTAGCATACGAATCGTCATATGTTCATTTGTGAAAATGATGTACCATTTTCACTTAGTACATATATGCGTATATACCACCGTGATTTTCCCTAAAGTATGTCAAATTAGGAAGTTATCTTTACAATAGACTCTGTCTACACTTAAGATAAAAAAGAACATAGAAAAAGGTAATACTGAACAAACTGTGGATTTCATAATTATTTGTGATATATTTTAGCAATAATCAATAATTAGTATCTTTTTGATACTGCATAGGAGCAGAATACAGAGTACGCTTCTCATTCAATATGAAACTCAGTTGACTAAACCTACTTGCATCGTAGTATATTGGTGTCTTAATCGATTAGACGAATCGTCGCAGTAATAAAGTATTATAATATTAATTTATGCGAAACGGATATCAAAAGATCCCATTCCACAAAAACTGGTCTCAAGTGAAAAAAAACATTTGATAGTCTGAAGCTCCTGAAGAGTGTTGATTCACTACCACTAAAAAATGGGACTTAGATATTTACATCTTGCTCGAAACCTCATAGTACTCAATAATTGATTCAAAACCAAATACTTGGTGCTGTTCAAATATAGTCCGCTCGAGATAAAGTAAGATGAGAGATGTTAACTGATCATAATCCTGTGAATAGGTCATCTCAATCGAATATAATTTTGACTTCAAAGCATTACAGGCTGATCATATAATTGTATGGCTACTTGAGATGATTCCCAATCGATTTACATTTCAGTGAATCCACTAATATTGTGGACTAGAATTACATTTGTCAGATGGATCAAGCAAGAATTTAAGCTTATCACTTTCATAAGCCAACTGATGGTAGAAATGAATACATTTGTAAAAAAAAATGGATTCCCACATAGAAACCTATCAATTAAAACGGATGCTCCCACAACATGAAATCAAAATATCGATTGATGAATGGTTGTTGAACACATTAAGATGATATCGTGAAACCCCAAACAATACATATTATGGAGAATTAAGTACGAGAAAGAATAACTTAATCCACCGTCATTTGTGCGTGAGGTCAGAAACCCCATCCCATAGAAAACAACCTTGTTAAAAAAACACTAACCGAATAAATAATTTAAACCATTTAAACCCTGACCTCCTAGTTCAATGGTCTTCATTCAGAACAATTATGACGCCTCATGGTGAAAGCCCAGATTCTTCAAAATTTCCGAGGTCGATGCCCCTTCTAACAACCAGTGCAATAATTAACATAGGTACATGGAATGTCCGGAAAATGTAGGAGACCGGAAAAACCATTCAAAAAGCTTCAGGTGTAAGTAAATGATAGTATGTAGTTGATCGAAACTAATGTAGTAAATTGGCTCTATGTAGTTCGAACAAATGGATCACATTTTAATTTGTTTAGATATTTGTATAAGAAATAAAAGATCAAACGCAACAAATCGGAAAGTAGTCATGGCAGACTTTGTCTTTTGATCGCACCATCCAAATTAATAAAATGAACCAATTGTGTTAATTTTTTGGAAAGAAAACTTCATACAATTTAGTTATTGATGGATGTAATTGATGGCGAATGACATTTAAATCAATAGTTTGTTTTCTAAACATTACCATAAAATGTATACAATCGATTAAAACATATAGTGCGTAGAAAGTAATCCGAGAAATGGATCTTTAATTACCAGTCTACACGTGTTATTATTTTTCTTCTCTAGTCATCTTGGTTTAACAAGAACTTATTTTTGGATAAAAGGTTACTTATGTAAATACATAAAATTAAAACTATGAAAATAACACATTTAAATAACATTGCTATATACTATTTTAGTGTTTTATCACTGAATGTAATATTGTTGAGTTTAGTATGAGAAAGTATCGAGTTATGAACTAGGAACTCCCTGCGGAAAAAATCGCAACATGTTGGGCCGATTCTGAGTTCGACATTTCATCTGAATGCAGGAAGAACATTATGTTGAAATATAATTAAGAATAAGGGAAGATAAAATTTATCACACAAGATGACTGAAGAAAAAAAGTTCACTGGGAACAACCTAACTGAGCAATATAAAGAAAGAAATCTCAAAAAACCTAATCGCTTTAGTTTAACCGAAGACTTGATGAATTAAATTCATAAAGCGGTAAGCTAGAGAAGATAACACTATGAAACAGTGATGAAAGGTAGACGAGGTATGATAGACTGAAGAAATTCACAAATAACACTATGCGCCTATGAGCACAGACTAGTTCAAGTCAAATGTTAAGTGAGAAATATGAAAGGAGACACTGTCGATTGAAGCTTTCGATGTAATTCTTCAGGGTTTGGCTCATATATATCACTGAGTTAAGTACAACTTGATTCCGTTCACCAAGACAGTTTACTATACCTTCTTAGTCTCCTCACTCATATGGAAGTTTAGGATTGTGTATAGGAAGCGTGTCTATCAATATCTAAGTCGGATGGAGTAACAGGATAAAGTCTGTCATAATCAATGTAGAGTCTAGCACAGAATTTGCATTCTGTCGAACAGTACTCAAGTTTACCAAGTTCCAAATCTGATTATGATAAAATAAGTGATAACTGGCTTCAAAAGTGATGCAGAAATATTTGATATTTATGAAAGTACATTTATAGAGCGACAATACACTAGCGGATAGTAACTTAATGCAACTAATGATTAATCATAGTTTTCCCTAAACAGTACCAGTAATAGTAAGCAACATCTGATAAGGATCTCGACTTGATGGACTCATGATAATTCGTTGAATATGAAACTTAAAGATTATAGGTTTGATTACATGTAAAAGATTGTAGATAAATATAAGCGATAAGTTCGAAACCATGACGAAACAACTGTTTAGTGTATGCCAGTTGTAAATGGTTTTTCACCTGATTTCAGTTCTAAATAGAAATTTCATTCGAACAGTGTTAATTATACTTTGAGAAAACAAAAAAAATATGATGAGTGTTTAACAAAAAAATATTTTTACATGAAGAAAATAATAAAATAATATTCGATGAAAGTAAATCATGTTGGAAACATATTTTTAAGGGAAAATATCTGTAAGAAAAAATTAGGAAAGAGGTGAAAATAACTGAACATGGGGCACAGAAACTTATTGTCGATGTTGAAGCTAGGAGGAGGGTAAAGCTAAAAATTGTAGATCAGTTGATGAGGTGTTTCACATAACCAAACTTTCAATAGTAACGTAGTACTTGGTTTGGATGAGGGCTATTTTCGATCAAACCAATACGTAGTATCAGTACGTGAAATTATTAACTGCTGATTTCAGTAAGGCCTAAAATCATTAATATCCGTCTGCGTGTCAATCATTTATATACTTTAACGTACATTAGAAAAAAACTTTTAAAAGAATGTTTGGCGAGAATACTTTCAGTTTGTTTCCTTACAACATGAATCTCAACCATTTAAAACTGCAATAATCATAAGTACGTCTATTGGCACAAGGAAATATAGATAGTATTGAAATGACGAGCAGTTACGTTTTTGTTACTATGACATTTGATCGATCACAAAAATGATTATTCAAAATAAATAACCAATCAAAATCCGACTATGAAACATATTGAATATGTGGAAATGTTTTATGGCAGAAAATGTTAACTAAAACAAGACTTATACACATACAAGAGAAACTTACCAAATTTAAAAGGAGTATTCGACAATTGATGTAAACAATCCGAATACTCACTGTTCATTAAATTGGTGTAGATATAGGGCTAGTCTGTGTAGAGTTAGATTGTTTCGTTACACCACTACAAGCTAAATAAATTGCTCTGTATATTAACTGCAAGCATATGAGAAGTCCTAAAAGGTTAGTGTTTCTCCATAATTGATTTGAACTAAATTGGCAATTCAGGGAACTCCATGTTGGGCCATGAAGCCAGCAGTCAGGCATATTTAGCCAACAAATAGTACAGATCTGGAATATAAACAAAAAAAATATTTAAGTAATGAATTTATCCGATCGAAGCTGCTACCTTAACGCGGTGATCGGGCTTGCCTATCGTGATGACCCAACCGAGCTATATTGGCTGGAACATATGTTCCTGCAGGTTCTACCATGCCAGGCAGGTCGATTGGCGAACGGTAAGACTAAAAGCAGCAACTCAAGGTCTGAGGGCGAAGTCGTACTGCTGACTGTAGAGAGGTGTGACAGCAGTAAGGTGTTTCCCTCGGACAACCAGCATGACAGCGATGCTGCCTTCCCACAAGGAGGGGTGGGGTTAGAAAAGGTCGGCCCTAAAAATGCACACCTCACCTTACCTCACGGATTTCCGTCTCCGGCGGTAAGGCCCCTTGAAGAACGGAGCTAACACGTCAAAAACCTTCCACAAAAAGGCCGTGCGCGACCGGCCTCAAGCAGTTGTCCCTTGGGCTCTGCGGTCACGCTCCCAGGTCGTCAAGACCAACACTAATCCAATTTCCTTTTCAGGTTCCTCAAGAAATACCCTTCCACGGTGTGGGCAGCCGGAAGTGACATCAGCCCTCATACCCGTAACAGCACAAGAGACCAAGTGGTCACATTCAAATCCTTCCTACACCTCCTAATACTTCTCTTATCCTCCCGACTGAATGAATTTATATATGTGCTAAAATTACACTCCACATAGATATTTCAAATCTACTATGATGTAACAGCCGAGAAAAACGACATTACATGTTAAAAAAAACATGTGAAATCATAGCTAGATACATCTTGACCACTCTATAAAAATTTCAGTGTAACAATAAAAGATCCACTTTGTGGGAATGAATAAAAGATGGACTTTATGAACCATATTGGGATAAAAAGGATTGAACAATCCGGTTAATAAATGAAAGTCCGCCAATTAAAATAGAGATACAGATCTAAACTGTAAACGAGTGGAATACTCAACAGTATATAAGCAAATAGTCAACATCATGATAATTTGATGATTAATAACTATGACTAAACGCAATTAAAATTAACTAATTAATAAATACCGAGATCGGATTGAGCGTTAGTCTGTAATGAGTATGACAAATATCTTGACATATATTACGAATTTGTTTCAAAATACCCAATATACGTTTTACTTTCTTATCAATGGCTGTGAGATTTCGGTTTTTTACATTAATTCACAGAATGTTGTTGACCATCCTTTTCCTTTTAAAGTTTCAAAATATCAGTTGCTCGATTTCATAAATTTAACTTTCATTGGTGTTAGAATATAGATATTCGAAAGGTTAAACAATAAACAACATGACATATCAGTTTTCGCTGTGTATGACACAAAACTACCAGTAATATGAAAATAAACTAACTAATTTTGGCTTGACTTGTTCAAGGGTAAAAAAATTCCCAGTTTAGGCATCTTATAGAACTCCACTCTGCATAAAGTGAGGCCATTCAGACTAAAGCATCGAAGATGTAGAAATACAAGTGTTTCGGTTTTAATACGTACTATATTATTCTTTAGCTCTGACTAACGATAGGTGTAGCATCATAGTATATGGACGTGTGTTTAAATATGGGAAAATTACTAGACCTATGAACGATACTTAAATCTTATTACTATTTCTTCAACAATATACTTCAGCGTCCTGGCGGGGGAAACCTGAACAACAATAGTATATTGTACATTTTTTGATAACATTTAGCGTCACTCTTTTTAACCTATGTAAACTGTTTTTATTTCGTCACTTTCGTAGAGTAGCCTAATCTTGGATATTTAATTAAACTCTTGATTAATATGTACGCTTTGTTTGTCTGTTGATTAAATATATACGTTTCCTTCCAGGTTTGAACGCTAATCTGTTGCTTCCGTCTGGCTGTTTTCTCTTGTGTACGTCAAATAAATTGTTCTACAATACTGTGTGTCTTGACTTTCAGCTATGCAGTGTCTTAAGATAGATAGATAGATAGATCAGAAGTTTTTGAGCCTTTAAGCAGTATGAGGTAGCCAGGGACAGTTTCAGTCCGGAGTTAAATCTGTTGCAGAGATTTTGTACGAACATGTGGTTTCTTTCACTTCAATCTTAACATTTGTGATGTAAAAAATGTTGTCAAAGATTTGGATAACTATTGTTTAATATCATATAGAAATACAAATTATCTATTAAGTAATTGCCTTTGTGACATGTGATAGCGTTGAATCAGAGTTTTGTTTCAATATTTTATCCAGCAATGATATTTAGAATATTCACAGACAATACGAAGTTCATTCTAGTAAATAAGACCTAACCTGTAAGAAATATTCTTCCTTAAAACAATAAAGTTCCCATCCCAAGATATGCGGAATTCGACTAATCCCCACTTGAATGAGACACAACTACTACCATATGCCACCCTATGTATATGTTATTTACTTCATAACACTGAATACCTAATTCAGCATAAGAAACTATGTATTATAAATCTAATAATCAAGAGCTAAAATAGGAAGTCAACACATTCCAAAGTTTATTGACAGAACATAAATGAGACAAAGCATGGAGTGTAAGTGTTTATGATAGATCAGAGACAACTGATTCAACTGAAATCAATAAATGGGACGACTTAATGTATAGATGTTTTGTTAAGATAGAAAAATATATTAGAAAGGCTGTAAATATATATGAAATATAAATTAGCTAAACTATTACAATAGGGAAGAAATAAGTATTTATACAAAATGATTAGCTACTCATATTTTCAACATTTGGGACACATTTTAAGAAGTATATTATGAGAATTTAGTGTTGGATATAAAGAAACTTAAACTAATCACCTTATATGAGCCTGAACCATAATGAGGACAATTCATGGATCCACTAGTCCATAATAAATGTGACCGGACCCCATGATCGGCGTTATTTGTGATAACAATGCCAGTGCTTGTGACACATTTTCCAGGAAATATTTCTTCAGATTTCGAAGGAAGTTTACGATCGTAATGAATATAGTGCAAATCGAAATACTGGTCGATATCTACTTGCGTATCTACTATACTTTCCACCTTTTTTGAATAATTGGAACCCCTTGGTTTGAAATCAAAGTCGTCGTCATGCCCAGTTGAAAATTGTCTTTTGTTTCCTGATTCATCTGGACTGAACACCTGGTGTGTCTTTTTCAGATATTCAAAAGTTTGTAACTATTACGAATAAAAAAATAATTCATCATTTTACAAACATATATTATTTATTTTAAATACTAATGAGAGTAAAGAAAATGTTCCTAACGACTTTTAATTATTTGCTCTCTAGCATTCCCATGTAAATACCACAATACAATATAAATTACACTCACTTGGCCCGACAGTAGCTGGTAACTAATCGACAATGCTTGTCTACTGAGCCGACCACATATAGCTTCGTTGGCTGTTTTTAACTTGAAGGCGTACTGTAACGGGTAGACCGCTTGGATGGTAGTATGGCAACAAATTTTAGGCTTGAAGATGAAATAATACTTTTAAACGCAATAAAGAGTGGCGGTAACGGAGGATTTACCTGAGTGATCATAATCTCTGGCGACATGGAACTGCTACAGATGGAAAATTGGTTCGGCACTACCCCTAGATGCTTTCGGTATTCTCGAAAGGATTTAAAAACTACGGAGCTAGCAGTAGACAACCAAAAACTACTGCCAAGAAAGACGCTGTTTCCAGCTGCAGAAAGTCTTTCAGTTTGGTTTATGATCCCTCTATTAAATCAATGAAGCAACAATCACTAACCTAATCGCTTTCACACGTTCGTTGCAAAGAAATATTCTTCCAAGTCATAGTTTTCTAAAAATTGCTAATCGCCCTCACATGGGCAACACGTGAGTTAAACCTGTCAGAAACCAAATCCCTTCCTTGTTTTATAGTTTTGATCATACTATTGATAATAGTGAAATTTTACCATTGGTCTGCTAAATCGGCTCGCTAAGCTATATGTTAACGTTCACATGGTTTGAGCCCCTTCCAATCAAACAACAAGCCTCACCGGTAGCAATCCCAGAATCCCTTAGCATTAATCTATCCTCAAGCCACACGACTCATAAAATAACCTAGTGAAGTTGTTCATCTGACCTTACTACCGCGACTCACTAAAAGAATAAACAGATGCGATAGCAACCTCGTGTGATCTCAAAACTAAAGACACAGCATTATATTTAAAGGCAGAAAATGAACATTTGTAATACATGCCCTGACCACCATTAAAAACGGTTAATAGACAACTTTTCCCCCTTCTTATTTATGTGTTTGGATTCTGATTAGGCCTGAGTAAGAGTAACTGCAGGTCCGCCCTTTTTGGACTCAGAAACTTTACAACAGGAAGACATGGTTAAGCTCAGAATTGTAATGAAAATATCACGTGTGGAATTACAGAAGAACGAGTGAAACGTCCAGGAAAGTATACAGATCTTCATCACGAGGTAAGTAGATTATATTTGGAATTTTAGGAAAGACAATGTGATTCAGAAAACCATCGCCCCAGACTTTGGATACTGGCAAAATGCTCAAGCAAGTACCATGAGTATTTAGCAAAAAATCAACAGATAGGAAAGGTAGTAGCAAAAGCTAACGCTAGGTAGTTGAATAGATTAACAAAACCTAAGTTATTGAAACTGCCGCTAAAATGACAGATCAGAAATCACAATACGTCTCCTGATTTATCGTGAAGAAAGAAGTCCGAGAGGTTAGCTTTACAGGATTTTAAATATGGTGGTCAATAGATATCGGCCAGTTAGATATTGCTGTCAGAGTGACTTCAAGCCGGGTACGAAGACCTGTACTTGGTAAAAAGTTACATTACGAAAGGTATTGAGATATTATACTCGGAAACAACAAAGCTGAGACCAGGCAAATTTCAGGTATGTCTATGAATGAATTGAGCAGCACCTTTATCAGATTTCGCTTCTTAAGAATATTTACTGACAATCCGCCGTAATTGTATTCACAAAGACAGCATTTTATCGTTGATCGAGTAGCCTTGGGGTAAAGCATCAAAGGGTGAACTAGGGTACACACTTAATATGCTTTTCAACTTGCCCCAGCCCCCTCGGATGCAAATTTGCTTGCAACAGTGGTGACAAAGGAATTCTTAAATCACGAAAATACCAACTACAAATAATAGTATGACGTTCAGAATAAGGTGTCTGTTACAATTCAAATTTGTTTCGAATCTAACATTACCGAAGTAGCTTGTAAATCAAGCTCTCATCTACTACGAATATACCTAGAACGAATAACTGACGAGTATATAAACACGAGAAATTTAGGAGACACTTACACCTGAACACCACTCAAATAAGTTGTATAACCAGAGCGACCCAAGACTAACTAATCCAGCTGCCAGACCCAATAACAGCACATAACGTTTATATGTGGAACCTAAAATAACATCAACAAATGTAAAAACAAAATAATATTAAGGTAAGACTAGGTTCAAGTAAAGACACTAAGTCATCCATAAATCTTATATATATGGCCATGATAATTAATAGTATAGATCTACGACGTAATGTAACTTCACCTATAGCTCTCCTAGAGTTACTGCCGGTCCCATGTCCGGGTGGAGCAGGAGGCTTGGGTCGGCGGTCGGCAACCCCATCTCATAGAAAACAACCTTGTTAAAAAACACTAACCAGAATAAATAATTTAAACCATTTAAACCCTGACCTCCTAGTTCAATGGTCTTCATTCAGAACAATTATGACGCCTCATGGTGAAAGCCCAGATTCTTCAAAATTTCCGAGGTCGATGCCCCTTCTAACAACCAGTGCAATAATTAACATAGGTACATGGAATGTCCGGAAAATGTAGGAGACCGGATGAGCCATTCAAATAGCTACAAAAATGAGGAGATACAACTTGGCCGTTCTCGGAATAACTGAAACGCTTTGAACATAAGCAGGACAGAAAAGATTAGATTTGGGAGAGATGCTGTTGTAATCTGATCATGTAGAAGAAAATGCTTCGCACGAGCAGGCAGTTGCTCTGATGCTGTCCAGACAAGTACAAAAAGCACTTATAGGATGGGAATTTCATGGACCCACAATCATCAGAGCATCCTTCAAAACAAACAAGGAGGGAATCACAATAAACGCTATCCAGTGGTATGAACCCACCAATGATAACAACAAAGGCGACAAAGATCAGATTTATTAGAGGCTGCAGTCCATCAAAGAGAAGTGCCCAATAAAGAGCCTTTTCATCATGATGGGAGACCTAAACGTCAGGGTTGGAATCGACAACACCGACCATAGAGATATCATGGAACGACATCGATTGAGTAGAAATACGGAACGAGAATGGTGACAGATTTGCAAATTTATGTCCCCTCAACAAAATGGTTATAGGTGGCACAACATTCCTACACACGTGCATACACAAAGCTACTTGGGTCTTACCGGATCACACTAAAGAGAACCAGGTCGATCATATTTGCACCAATAAAAAATCCAGAAGGTCAATGGAAGACGTAAGAACTAAGAGAGGAGCTGACATAGATTTCGATCACCACCTGGTGGTTGCCAAGATCACAGTGAAGCTAAGGAACCATTGGACAAATAGCATTACGTAAGTCTAATACAGTCTTCATTCGACATACTGACAAACTCAATCAATTCGAGATAGCTCTCAGCGACACGTCCCAAGTCTAACAAGATCTACTCAAAGAAGAGCAGAGGAACAGATGGGTGGGACACTTAGAAGAGCTATTGAGTATACCAGCTCCACTAACCCCAAAAGACATCCACGCAGCACATAGAGACCTTCGCATAGCTATCACTCTACAAACGATCGGAGAAATCCGAATGGCCAACAGACAAGTCAACAGTGGGAAAGCAGGAGGATCAGTATGTTTTATTTATTTATTTATTTGAACACATAAATATTGGCACAAAGGAGCATCAAAAACATATGCGCCACACAAGTCACTTGATCTGTGTGTGGGCTGTGATGCTACCCGGGTGCCCAAACCGAAGCAGGAGGGTCAGACGACATACCAGATGAAGTACTCAAGTCAGACGTAGCACTAACTGCAAACATTCTCCTCGTTCTATTCAGGAAGATGTGAAATGAGTAACACGTGCCACCAACAGACTGAGAGGAAGGATATCTCATCAAGATACCAAAAAAAGATCTCAGCAAATGTGAGAACTACACCGAAATCACAGTACTATTCAGTACCAGGAAAAGTTTTCAGTGGAGTGATGTTGAACCGGATGAAAACGAAGTAGACGCTCAGCCTCGAGATCAACGGTCGGATTCTGTAAGGATCGGTCGTGCACAGGTCACATCGTGACACTACCGATCATTGTGGAGCAATCAGTTGAATAGAATTCGTCGATAGACGTTAACCTCCTTGACCATCAGAAAGCATTTGACAGAGTGCATAGGAGACCTTATGGATCCTTTCTCCACACTATGATGTACCTGAAAAGATCGTCAACATCATACGGAATTCATACGACGGACTACACTGAAAAGTTGTGAATAGAGGACAGCTCATAGATTCATTTCAAGTGACGAACGGTGTCACACATTGGTGCTAATTATCTCTCTTTCTCTTTTCCAGGTGGTCAATTGGATTATGAAGACCTCCACATATCAGGGGAAGCACGGCATACAATCAAAAGTTTGGATGCAACTAGACTACTGGCACTTCACAGGTCACCTAGCTCTTCTATTCTATATATAACAAACAAATGCAGCCGAAGACAGCCAGTTTATCAGCAGCCTATGCAGTGGTAGACCTCAAAATACACTAAGGAAAAACCAAGATCCTAAAACAAAACTCGGAAAACACCAACTCAGTCACACTTGATAGAAAACCTTTGGAACAGATGGAAACCTCCACGTACCTGAACAGTATAATCGATTAACACGGATAAGAGCGTCATTTCAACAGTTGAAGAGCATATACAACTCAAAACAACTGTCAACCAATATCAAAGTCAGAAGTTTCAGTACGAACTTCAAGACAGTTCTACTGAAAGGAGCTGAAACTTGGAGAACTACCCAAACCATCAGCAAAAAAGTACAAGTATCTATAAATAATCGTCTACGGAAGATAGTCCAGGTCCGTCGGCTGGATAACATCAGCAACAGCCTACTGTAGAAGAGAACAAATCAGCTTACAGCTGAAGGGTAAAATAGGCAAACGCGATGGAGGTGGATAGGACATACACGATAGAAGCTCTAACTTGGAATCCTGAAGGCAAAAGGAAAAGAAGAAATCCAAGGAACATGTTGCGTTGGAAATTAGAAGCAGACATGAAGATGAATAGCAACTGGAAACAACTGGGAGGGATTAATCAGGACGGAGTTCGATGGAGAAAGCTAGTGAGCAGCCTATGCCTCTCTGCGAGGTTTAACAGCTGTAAGCTAGCTGGTAATGATGCAATATGTTGGTAATCTACGGAAAAGACGTGTAACTGGGTCGAAAGTGCGTCGTCCGAAATTGCTACATATCAGCACGACGAAATGAGATTAAAAAGTTGAATATCGAAATGGAAGTACCAGTAACAATGGAAATAAATAGTCTGAAAAGAAACACTTTCCTGAAATTCTTGTTCCCCGTTTTCT